CCCCAAAACCCCAAAACCCCAAAACCCCAAAACCCCTATTTACTAAGAATCGTTGATCTGCAAAATTATAAAATATTTAGAAAATTTGAAATGTGGAATAAAGCTGAGTCCGCCATAGATGCACAAACTAAAATTACATTCAAAAGCGTTAAGCGAGAAGGAGTCACATTCAGAAATAAAGATACTACTAGTAAACCCAAACCCTTCCACAAGAGAGATGGGTTCAAGAGTGACCAAACTCGGAGGAAAACTAAGCCCATCGATCCTAAAAATGCGGAAAAAGAGCTAAAATAAGGCAAATCAACTTATAGTAGTTGATAGCACTGACTTAGATAAGGAAAATATACACATAAATAAGATAGAAAATGATCAAGCTGGAGCCACTTTCCATCAGTTAAAGAAGCCAACCCTATCTATTCAGCGAAAATACTTAAATAAAATTGAGAAAGAAATCGGGATCAAAAGATATACCGCTCCGGAGCCAAACCAGGCGGAATTTGTTAAACCGAACAATGCTTTTGAGACACAGAAGCATGAAAGACCGAACCAAGTTATAATCAACCAAAATGTACCAAAGACCTCACAAAATGTCAATAAGACAATTGATTTATTCACAAAAGCAAGAGAGGCCTTATCAAGCTCCCAGGGTGATAATACAACCGAAAAGAATCCAATTCAGGATAAAGTTCCAAAACTGCGGGAGATACAGCCAATGCAGAAGAGGACAGGCCTGCTACATAGAGGTAGAGATCATGTGGAAAAGTTATCAGGAGGCCCTATTTCACCTGGATCTACCATAAAATCTCCAAACTCCAAGGTTGAAATTCCATTCTCAAAGAACAGGTATTCTAAAGAGTCAAATAATGAGGAACTCACTCAGGAGAACAATAAGAAGGCAATAAAATACTTAAAAAACCAGAAGGCATCAAGGAAGGAAAAAGAAGAGCAAAAGAAGATTCTCATTGAAAAATAGAAGAAAGTACACCGAACAAATCAGAAAACAGAACAAAGAGAAGCTTCAGAAAAGAAAGACAAGAAACAACAGTATTGAGGATGTCAGAGAGAGAAGAGGTAGGCAACCCTCCGCTCCAAGGTCCAAATCAGAGGATGCCAAAACTAAATCTCACAAGGTCGTCAGGAAGTATGCACGGAACCGGCTGAGGCAGATCAATCGATCAGAAGCCAAACAAAATGAAGGAATTCTTAAGAATCAGAGGGCTATCAAAACTCTTTCAGTAGAAGGTGAAGATAGGCATCACACCATTAATCAAAAGTCTAGTCAGCTCTCAGAGCTACAATCAGGTCTTCCTCCTCGTAGAGATCCTAAAGTACAGATAAATGTCGATCTTACTGCTAAGATGAATCAAAGAGAAATAATTAACCTTCATATGGACAATTCTGAACAGAAAAATTCAACTGAAGAAGATGAAACAAAGTACATTAAAACTCCTGAGCTTAACCTGCAGGAGAAATACTCTCATAACAACGTATCAGGAAATAAAATTAGTGGTAAATCTACAGAAAAGGATGGCAAAGTGACTAAAAGATTCCTTTCCTCTCAAAAGAAGAAATCAATAAAGGTCTCCAAAGAAGTCCTTGAGTGCAAGAAAGATCTGATTAAGCTTCAAAAGAAGAGTGAATATCGAAAGAAGAAAAAGATGGATGAAGAAACCCAGCAGAAAGAGCTTGAAAGAAGAAAACAGAACATTGCTACTCTCAACTTGATGCTCAAGAAAAGAACCCAGCATTTTAAGAAGAAAAAGAGGAACCAAGAGAAACTCATGAAGAAGGAAGCCATTAATTTCGAGAAACCTCCAAGCACTAGTTTCAATAAAAAGATTAAAAAGAAGAGGATTAAGGTAAAGAACATGAAAAGGAACCAGACTTTCTCTAACCTGTCAAATAAGAGTCCTTGTGAGACTATGAATACATCTAAAAACCAATTTTCCTCTCATAAAAAGAAGAACTTCCATGTCTCTACTGGGAAGAAGCTTAATTACAAAAAGATGAATGAGAGTTTAAAGACTAATACCTCTTCCAAAAAGCTCAGGTCTGAGAACAAGCTTGGAGCCAAGAGTGTCAATGCCTCTCAATATTTTAATCCGAACAAAGGAAGCGGAAACACTCATAAGAAGAGAAAGACAATCAAGTCTGAATCAAAGAAGTGAACTACAGATGCAGTCACTCACTTCAACGATATTTCAGAGATCCAGGAGTTTAATATGACTGACGAAGAAGAATCTCTAATTAATTCTTCAATACTGAAGAATATCGAGGAGCATGAGTCTATCAAGCACACTGAGAATGCTGGGAAAAGTTCGATGAAAAAGACCAAGACAACAGCTAAGAAGACCCTTCAGACTACCAAAAAGAAGCATAAAAAGACTGTGAAGAAAACTAGGTTAAAGTTCATCAGTTCTTCCAAGAAGAGTTCTAAAAAGACCAAGAAATGAACTGAGAAGGACCCTAATGACAAATCAATTAAGAAGAGGAAGGTCATCTTCCACTCAAGTAAGCTAAAAGAGGTATCTCCAGTAGAGAGAGCTCCTAGAGATTCGAAGGCTCTTGAAGAAGCTATTAGTCCACAAAATGATTACAGAGATATAGAATCTCCTGAACAAAAATCTGAACAGATCATGAAAGTGGAGCACTCTAGTCCTTCTATAGATAATGAAGAAGAGTCTGATGAAGTCATCGATTTGAAAAACAGTCAAGGCAAAAGCTTGATCAGAGACTCTGTTGTAGCTAAAAATATTGAGAGAATCGATATGATAGACTCTGAAAAGTTATCAGAGCTACTTTCATCAAAGAAAAAGCATCGGTACCAAGAAGTTAAGGATTCTATGGATGGAGTAGCAGAAACGAATATTCACCAACAGATTAACTTCACAGATGAAGAAGAGAACCTTAATCTTCATCAATATCATTCGCCTGGAGTTGATTCTCCCGATCAGCCACAGTCTCTTTCTCAGGATGAGCAAGTCATCAAAACAGCTCTCCCTTGAAGCAACAATTCAGTGAAGGAGAATAAAGAGTTTGATATAGAAGGCTTAATTCCTGAGAAAGAGTACATAATAGAATCGATGACATACCAACAAATTCAGGATGAGAGGAACAACATAATCGAAGATCCAAGATCTGAGTCTGAAAACCAAACTGTCATTAATTGTACACAAAGTGATCAAGAAGACAGTAGTGTGGATTATGAGGAGAGAATCTCAGATAGGAATGCGATCATTGATGAATCCTCCCTAGAGTATGCTTCGGTACCCCAGAATTATAATCCAATTCATGAGACTACTTCAGAAGACCAAGATGAGCCTGCTGAGGAAATTCATGAAGAAAGAGTCTTTGAGTATCATAACGAGCACAACGAGGGAGAAAATGAAGAGCCAGAGATTACCTCTCGAAGAGAACAAAGAGATATTTCTGAGCATGAACAAGAATCGGAACATTCTGGTCCTAACTATTATCCAGACTCTAATGAATCCTACTCTGATATTGATATGGATGAGGAAGCTATTGAGAAATTTCTCAATGAGCCACCTCAGCAAATCCAAGATAACGGATTTGAGAAGACACTCACAAATATGAGATTAGCCTTCGGTTCTGAGAAGCACATTCGTGAAAACAGTGTTAAGACTCTTGAAAGAATCGATAAGAGCCATAGAGACTCAGGAAGTGATGAGAAGACTGATGAAAAATCAAGCGTTTTTGAAAAGAACAGCTTCCAAGATTTCTCACTCAAAAAGTTTACAGAGCTGATGAATGTAAAGAACATGAAAAACTTTAAAACTTCCATACAAAAGACCTTCAGGGAATATAACAAGGACAATATTTTCAGCAATAGTGATAAGAAAGCTAGTAAGATGAGCTCTACTCCGAAAAAGTCTAGCTGTATCTCACCTAGAAAGTTCAGCATGAGAGATCTTGAGCTTGATAGGATAGGTTATGAAAAGATGAAAGAACATTCAGAGAAGAAGAACAAGTTTATTCAGAATATTATGGGTTCTTCCTCAAGCCAAAACAAGAAAAGCCACTCTTCAATCTTATACAAAACTAATCTAAGTCTTGACAAGTGCAGGAAGGAGATTAATATGGAAGATATCTCCGATGAGCAATCTTCCAAGAACATTGAGTATAAAATCTCTAGTCCAAAGAAGAACTACCAACTACTTAATGATAAACCAGAGAAAGAAGAATTTACTCTTGAGGCTCAACATGTGAAGTCTTATGATTCTCCTGAACCTTCAAAATCCGTCAAGTCTAAAAGATCTTCTTGAAAGAAAATTCAGCAAGAGCTTGAGCAGACAAGTGAAGATCAGTACAATGAAGAGACTCCATTTGAAGATGAAAATATTGAAACGGTCAAGCTTGACTCTTCAAGATTGAGATCTCAAAAGAGAGGCCTTCCAATGGAGGGTTCTACATCAAGCAAAGAAGAAACTCCTAAAGGAACCTTCACTCAAAGAAGGCTCAGAAACGCAGAAGAAAGTTGCAATACAGGAGAGAAATATGTTCTTGGTGATTGCTTTACAGAAGAAAAGAATTATGAAATGAGGCTTAGAAATGCTGTTACTTCTGCAAAGAAGATCAACCCTATTCAAATCCTGAAAGATCTTAAATCTCCAGGCTCTTCATACATATCTTCAGCAAAGAAAGCTCTAGCTGAAGAGGAGTATAATGATAATGATAGGATTCCTTTTGAAATCAGTGAGCAAAAAGATCACCCAATAAGAGAGTTTAATGACAAAGAAAATATGAGAAACAACAACATCTATGTTGGGAGGTTTGGCTCAAACACCACCGATGGGTTGAAGAACTTTGTAAACTCGAATAAGTTCCAAATACCTGAACAGGATTATAATGACCTGGAGTCACCTGAAGAATCTCATCATAGGCATTCAAAGTCCCGCTCTCGAACAAAGGAAAAGAGAGGGAATAGAAGTGACTGAGCATCCGAGAACTTTGAAATCCTTCCAGATGATGGTAAAGAAGAGGATAAGACCTGTATGGTGATTGATTTCAATACTTCTCCTGAGCTTAAGAAGAAGGAAGAAACTCCAGTCCAAGAAGAGATGTCACAAAGTATTGAGTGGATTATTGCCAATAATATTGATAAGAAAAAAAGAGACGAGATATGAAAAATAGTTGATGGAGAATCTAGAAATCTTACCACTGAAACTCATGCTCCAGATTCGGATCGTGGCAATACGAATGAAATTGAGGTTGAAGAAGTAAAAAGGATCAAATTCGGGAACCCTATGATCAACAACAATATTGCTGATGGAGTTGCTGAAGATACAGAGGAATCTAATCTTGGTCAATATATTGAATGATTAGAATCAGTAGAATCTTCCGCCAATAAATCTGTCAAAGCTTATGCTGAAAAAGAACTAATGAAGAACCCTGAAGAGACTTCGGAGCATATGACAGATGAAATCCTCTCTATGATGTTATTTAATGATATTCATGATTGCCCTATGCATCCAATTAGAGAGAATAATTTCGTAGATTATTTTAAAGACAAATATCCATTCAATAGAGATTTAGGTATTGATACGACAGAAATTGGGACAAACAAGTACCTAGATGACTTATGAACTTACTTAGAAAAGAATCACTTAGATATGGTTTATCGCCAACTTCTTAAGCCAGTCTATGTTGACCCTCTTAGCGAGCTTAAAAAGTTACAAGCTCTCGATGACTTCTATAACGACGAAGCTGTAGAAAGTGAGAAGAACTCCCAATCTGATTGCTCTGAGCTCAAAGAAGAATCTGATAATGGCTTAATTCTTCCTCAGCAAATTTTCTATGAATTTGAAGAGGTTAGGAAGGAAGAGTTCAATAAAGAGATGAAAAATTTAGCTAAACCTGATTACACAGGCAGTGAAATAGAAGATAAAATAAAGTACACCTTTATTCATGACAAGGTCATTTTTGATGCTTTTAACAATGCCCTGAACCTATATGGTCAGCGAAAAGAAACTTTAAGGCCTTGGATCAAACAAAATAGAGCTTCCTATGATAGAGATTATACTGTCAAGAATATTCAGACTTTGTTTGAAAAGTCTAAAAAGAAAGTCAACGATTGGATTAACATCTGAGCTGGAACTCGCAAGATTCCTCCGCCTTCGGTCTTAGATGCTTATAATCAGACAAATGATGGCTTTGGGGATACTATTGACCCTAACCAAATGTCAGATGAAGAAAGATTGCAGCAATTAAGAGAAGAAAGGCTCAGCTTAATGCTAAGGTAAGCTTCATTATCTAATTCGAACATATTTAATTCCTAATATAGAGAAATCCAAGAAGAAGATAATAAGTGGAATGAATTTGAAGCATGAGAAATTCAAATCAAGCTAGACTTGGCAGACATGGTGTTGGAAACCCTTGTCTGAGAGGTCATTGACATCCTAAATAAATAACCTTCGCATAAATATAATTCATTTTTATATTTCTGTCTTGGGGTTTTGGGGTTTTGGGGTTTTGGGGTTTTGGGG